AAAATTTAAGAGACTAAATTTAGAACTTAAAAAAAGAGGAAGAAAACAACTAATTCTATAAAAAATATTACAGAATTAAATTATGCAATTCAAATATCATTAAATTGTTTTCAAGGAGATAAACTAGCAATAACAAAGAAATGTTATCGCCTGATTTTAAACAATTATTAAATAATTCTAATGAGTCAAGAGAAAAATTGATAAGCTTTGTTGAAAGTAATATGTGGAATACTACCGATAATAAATTTTTCGATTCTGGTATTTTAATTAAAAAAAGCAAGATTTAATGGATTTTTAGTTTTTTAAAAATTTTTGGGATTAGTTTAAACAATTTTAATTAATGTAATAATGAACGTATGATGGATTAAAAAATTAATTGTATTTTTTTAAATCATCTTTTTTTCCCTTTGTATTAAAAAATAAAAAAACATAATGTGAATTAATTGAAAAATTGGCATCATAAAACATGTTAATATTAATATTAATATGGGCGGTAGACAAGCTTTCGGTTGAGAGTAATTAAAAAAATTATTTTTATTTTGTATATATATCATTTATGCATTTTATTGTGATAAAAGGAAATTGATGCAAGATAATTCTACTGAAATTGAAAATTTCTATGAGACAAATGTTAAACAAAATTATTTTTGTGTAAGGTTTTTTTTTAATCCTTGTAAAGTTCAATTTACTCTTGAGGATTTTGGAAGTGTTTTGCCAATAACAAAAAAAAACCGATTGAACCATTATAGAGAACTCTAAAAAATTAAAACCTTTTGACCAACCAAACAAACCTTTTGAAATCACCAAGTATCTGGTATTCGCATATTCACACGCAAAACGCAAATGTGTTACCAAATACAAAACTCTTTAACGAATAAAAAAAAAACGAAAAATTTTTATATGGTTCACAAAAAAAACAAATAAAAAAAACGGGTTTTAAAACAAGTAAAAATGGTTATGTTTAAGTTTTTTAATTTCTTCTTCGGGAAGCATTCACATTGGTATTGGTGGTTCTATTTCATTTGTGCGGCTCTTTTCTG